TTAATGAAGCCCCAAAGGTGATTCTTGTAGCTCTACAAGAATATATCTGAGTAACTGACCATTTTAAATCATATATACTGAATTATTACAATAAATCCCATAGCTGCCAAAAACTCACAGACGAAACTATCTATATGCTTCTATCCCTGATCTGAACGACATGAGATTTCAACATCACCATGGACATGTTCTAGAACTAAAACCCTATAATCCTCCTTACACCAAAACCATATCACCGGACAGACTGTGTAGTTTGATGGTTTCAGAGCTAGCAAAAAAATCTCATTTCATTACTTAACCAGTATAAAATCAAAGATATCAGCATCTATCAACGAGATCCTAGCGTAAAATATTAATCTTCACAAGAGAAGGACAGGTTTTTAATTAATATATAGTACCACCAAATGATTCTTAATTACGACTATTCTGATGATATATGTAAAATTGGCAGCTTTGATTCGTATATTGTCATCTGAATCATAATACCAATGATGTAGACTAGGACAAGAGAAAACAAGGGGAAATGAATGTTCTTCAAATTACTACTGAGATATATTCATATGTAAAGATTGAAAACCCTCTGACAGATACTAAGCCTTGCATAGGTGACTAAAACAACCCTTATCCCATTAGCATGGGTAGTCACTCGGCAGTAATCCAATTTTAGGAATCAAGAAATCATATTTCAAATAGGAGAAAGAGAATCCTAATTCAGCTATTTATAAAATATTTCTAAGACCCAATAGCCTAAACCCTTATTTCCCCGAAATTCATAATTAAAATCCAACATCCAAAATTACACATATACCAAAACATAATACGATAGTTACAAATAAATTTTATTCGTCTGTCTTCATAACTAACACCAAAATATAAAAATAAAATAAAAAGTTGCCAACAGATAGTTATTCACATGTTTGAACATAAATTTGATCAATTTTAAAATTTAACAAACCACTATTATAATCGTTCAACATTTATTTCTCTATTTCTTTCTGTTTTCTTAGCCGCATTTATCAAGATCAACAGATATAACGTTCTCAGTCTGTTGCTTTGAAGTATCATCATCTGGCAATCTAGATAGCACCTTTAACAAGTTTTAGACTCTAAGGAAGATTCAAGGTTTTACTTTAGAAGTGCCATTGTCTCCACTGGAATTAAACTTCAACGATACAGATAATCATTTGGTTAGAATTATTTATATCTGAATTTTGAGATTTCCCTGTAGGTTCAAGTCTGCCAATCCACACGCGTTTTATTTTCAGAGCAGCCCAATTTCCATTGGATAAAGAGAATCAAACATTATGTGCCAATGAAAAATAACTCGCCAGAAAATGAAGATAAAGCGTAAGATTAGCAAAGGAACCAAAACTTTTAACATATTAGCCAAGATGAGAAGGTACGCATTGACCTTTGAAAAGAACTTCTGTGCATGGCTCCTGATTTGCACAGCAGTCTTTGTTCCTATATGCTCTGCACAGCAAGAAGTATAACACAAAAAAGGGAGGAAGGGGGGAGAAAATTTAAATTAAGAGTTAATAAAGAAAGATATAAGTTCCTGACAGAAAATTTCAAAGGAACAAATCAGCATAACATATAACCGACAATTCTAATCAAATAAACAAACAAAAGGATAAATATGCACACTTTTACCTTCTATGCGCTGCCATGCTCTTCCGTAGAGCTTTAGAGCTTCTAGGAACTTATTGTGCTCCTCCTCTGTCCATCGTTCTCTTTGCTTTGTGATTGTATATGGTTTTCTTGTCTGCAGTTGCCAGCCACCTACTTAGACAGTATCAAAATTTTCTAATCCACTAGCAGCAAATTATTGCAGCTTCCGAATATATTAAATTCGCTCCATCTATTAGAATTGTCAATAACTATTTATCCCAATTAATGTATATTTCTAAATAACCTTACCTTAACGACCACTTCTTCTCCAGACGAGTATGCGTCCATTACAGGACCTGTGCAGCTGGCGCTGCTTCAGATCTTCCCTGACGAGCAGTGGATAAAAGGAACACCTCCTTCCTTTTCTTGTGACATGGAACACAGTAAATAGTAAAGCCGTAGTGAACGTGATAAGAAACTGATAAGGCGATGCTACTGCAAAACAGACAAAGGAAGAAGAATGGGTAGAGATCCGTCTCTGTTTCGTATCAGAAGCAATAAGCATTCCAGTTCACAAGCACTCAGGAAAAAGATACATATTATGTAAATAATCAGAAAATATTAAAATTTTAAGAATCCACCGCAATAAGAAGACGCTTGTCCGAAAGAATAAAAGAAAGTTCCTTAATCAGAATCCTCACCAAAACGAACTCGGGAGCGCCAAAACCTTTAAAAGCCGGAAAAAAAGAGGTAAAACATAATTAGTATCCAACAACTATCTTTGTCCTCACTTCATAATACTGTCACCGTGAATACTCATACGGTGACTAAGAATATTAGCCCTCATGTTTGGTTGCCGAGAAAATGTAATCACAAAGCAACTAAAAATAAATCAGTAAAAATTTGAATACAACTCTACTCATCCGGAAGAACCCTTCTCCTCAGTTGAATTGAGTAAATGATATATTTCTGTTCTGAATCCAGATTATAGTGAACAATAAGGAGTAATTTGTTAAAACAAAATGGTTATGTAGCTTCTTTCTCGGGAACCAAAAGAGAGGGAGGTAAAAAGGGCGAATGAAGGAGGACAAAGAGGGAAAATAAGAGAAAAGGGAAAGTTACCTTTAAATAGAGCCATGGTGATTAAGAGGAGTAGGGGCCGGGTGATGAGTACGATCATACAAAAGAATTCAGCCGGACAATAGCCGGAGAACCATTTCCGGCAATGGCGAATCAGAATCTGAGGGCGACTTCAGATCGGAGGAAAATAGCAGAAGCAGGATCAGAAGAAGCAGAAGAGGAATTGTAAGCATAAGAGCTAAAGCACACCAGAAACCGGAAACGAAGACCAGACCAAAGAGGCAAACAAGCAGCTTCTGAGAGTGCGGAGAAATCTCAGCCACTATAATTTCTCGTGGATTTATTTTTATTTTTTGTTGTCATAAATATTAGGGGCTGTTCTTCGTTGGGGCTACCAAGGTTCCTAAGATGTTGCCAGGTGGCGACAATTTAGTGGCTGGTGATGGCGACGCCTACCTTTGCACTTTTCCCTTATTTATTTTCCTGCACTTTCTTTTTTAAATTTAACAATTATTTTTTATTTATTTTCTCTTCAAATCTCATCCACAAACTCGGCGAACGAGGGTTAGAGTCCGTAAAAGCGTCGCCAGCTGTGAGGGAGGTGGGGCCCCTGACTACGTGGCGAAAAGGCACCGCCTGTGTCCGGTCATTTTGCGGACGCAGCCTGGTAGTTAGTGGTCTAAGATTTAGCCACCTAGGCAAGTGGCACTTGGGAGACCGGCACGTAGCGTTATGTTTGAAGGTAATTGGCGCTCCGCACTGCTTTTTCATTGCGTGTCCCTGTTTTGCCATATAATTTATAGTATTCTCGGACGACCTATTTTGTCATATAATTATTAAATTGATTTTAATTCTAAATATAATATCTATTTTTTATATTTATTAATTTTTTTTAAATTATTTTTATGATACTTCCTCAACCATAATCAAGTAAAAAAAATAATAAAAGATATTAAGGAAGATAATTATGGTGTTTTAGAAAAAAGCATGTCATATTTTTTATAATTAAATAGTTTACCTAACTTTTTTAATCTAATCAAATTCATTAAATAGGTCTTATATTAAGAACCGAACTTATCCTAATTATAAGATTCCATTTGTAAACCTCATTTATAGTGTATAAATAAGGTTTTATAATTAGGATAAGAAGTAGTACTATTTTTTAAATTATAAAAAATTATTTAAAATAAAAAAATACTTTAGCTCAATATTACTATATACCCCTCTTCCTCCTCCTGTCTCTATAATGTGAGGCCCAATTGAGTAGATGTTGATTTTATGTATAATGTAAAATACATTTTATATGTTTATCAGTTTTTTTTCAAATTAATTTTATTAATGTTTTTTAACTATAATCAAATAGGAAGAGAAAAATTAAAATATTTTAGAAAAATATTATATTAGTTAATTTAACTAATATTTTTAATCTAATTTAAATTAGTTAATTAAGTATTAAGTGATGGACTAGAGAAGTACTACCTCCGGTCCTTAATATAAGACCCCGTTTGACTTTTTATTTGGTCCTAATTATAAGACCCCAATCCATTTTGTCTCTCATATTTATGTATTTTTTTCCAAAATAGTCCCTTTAATAATGATAGTTCTAGCCAATACACTTAATTAGCAAGGATATTTTAATAATGACAACACTTATTTATTACAAATAACTAACTTAACTTACTTCCTTAATCTCCTCAAATAAGTCAACTGGGTCTTATAATTAGGACCGGAGGTAGTATTATATAGCCATATCAAAAGTAATGATTTATTTGAAAGTTTAAAAATACTCCTCCGGTTCTTAATATAAGACCCATTTAACTAATTTGATTAGATTAAGGAAGTTAGGTAAGTTAGTTAATTATAAGAAAAATGACATATTTTTCCTAAAATACCATAATTATCTTTCTTAATACCCCCTCTCCCTCTTCTATTTGATTATGGTTGAAAGAGTATCCATAGGGGTAATTTAGAGAAAATTGATAAATATGAGAAATGGGTTTTATATTTAGGACCAAAACCAACACAAGAATTGGATCCTATATCAAGAACCGGAAGAGTAATTGCTTTCCGGCGATTGAAACTATACAATGGTGAGCATTAGGAATCACTTGCTTGGCAAGTGGATTACGAGAGTTTGGACGATTGAACCATCATTGTAGGGAGGCAAATTACTTTGCAAACTAACTGACTCATCAGAGACAAACTGAAAGAAACAAGAAGGCTGTTACATTCGATTCCTGTCCAGTATAATTAAAAATGAGTGATGATTTATGTTATGAGTCGCATGTTCTTAGCTAATCTCATCTCTGCAAGAATTATACTCCTCCCCGGGGGGCGCAGGCTACTCAATTCGCTGGATACTTGGGCTTTTGTGTGAAGCTGTCGTGTTTCGAGTCTCGAGGAATTGACGAACACATGTTTGTTAGGGAACTAGAATAAGCGCCACGTTTCGGTGTACTCGTACTGTCCTTAGGTTTGGTTGGGTGAGCTTTAAGGTAATTATTAGGTCCAGTTGTTGAAACCCACTCTTTCAAGACCTGCTTCCAAACCAACAAGACTGAATGTAGCAGAAGATGCTAGTTCCTTGTAACATGACAAATTAAAATTCAAATTTTTAATAAAAGAATTAACCGAAATATAATTATCTCTAATAAGAAAATATCAGTACCTCACCAAAAAAAAAAAAGGTATATGAGATTTCGGACTTTTGCATGCATTTATTGTAAGTACTTATAAAATATTTTTACATAAGCCGATCTTGTATTCAGTAAATTATAATTAAGCAAACTATTTTTGAAGTCTCCTACCATGATTCCAAACAAGCCCTCCACTTCGTTGTCCAGTGCATTTGATGAGGTATGAAATGCCACTTGCAGGTGAAAAAGACAAGAGCGTACGAAGACTCCATGGAAGCAATTTGCAAGTTGCAACACGTCAAAATCGCGTGATAGAGACCATTGGCTTTATATGTGGCTAAGAAAAGCAGAGACAGAAACCCCGCGGGGTTAGGTCGACTGGCTGGGGTTGTCCTAGCTTAACCACGGATCTCGGGTTCGAGACGTGGGAACGCAGCACTCCAAGGGGCCAGGGGGCGCCGTCCGTATGGATCCTTGCAAGCCCCCGAATCCGGATTAGTCTGGGGACGTTGTCACGGCTGAAAGACGCCTATTTCCCTGAGATACCGGATAGAGTAATCCAAAATAAAAAGAAAAGCAGAGACAGGAGATGAATATTCTGAAGGTCTAATCTGCAAGGCCCAACCCAAGGTCCAGTAGCCCTAGCAGACGGCCTATGGGCTTGTATTGTTCAATCTCAGAAAAATGGTCTTGTTTGTGAGGCCGATCAACCCACAATAGCATTTTTGTTTTTTAATTAAAGACCATATACTATTGCCTCAGTCCATAATAAGAAAGGTACTTAACTAATTTGATTAGATTAAAAAATTAATTATATTAGTTATTTGTAATAAATAGATATTGTATTTTTTAAAATATCTTTGTTAATTACAAAGACTACTTTGAAAAAAAATTAGATAAATATGAATGACAAAATAGATTAGAATCTTATATTTAAAACTAAAATAAAAGTTAAACAAGTTCTTATATTAAGTAATGGAGGTAGTATTAACATTTTCAGTTGTTAAGATAGCAAACGGCCTGCTTATTCCAATATGAAAGAAAGAGAAAGACACCCAGTGGTCAGTGGCCGAAAGCCCGAAACAGAAAACTTTCACGCCCTTTGAGATTTTACTGAGGATTTCTTTTCAAAGCGTGTTAATGTAGTGTAGTGTTTTGTTTGATTACTGAGGATTTTGTTTCTTGTTAGGATTAGGAATAGAGACACACAAGCAAACAAAACATTACAGTTACACTGAGTACGTAAAACACCGCAAGACGTCTAATTTAGAGAAATGTAGCTCAATTTATATATTTTAATTTAGATTTTTCTTGATATTTAATATGTTTTTAAAATTTTTAAAATTATTTATTATCGCTCATTTGTCACTTCCTCTCTCATTTTATTTTTCCACACGCTCTCTTTCATTTTTTTTTTGGTCAGGCATATTTAGAAATAAAAAAATATTTTTACTGTTTATTAGTTTAAACTAATTTTAACTGATATGTTTGTCAAATTTACCGACCTCTAAAACAGTTTTTATACAGACAATGTTATAAAAAAAAACTTTATGTAGACAAGATTATCTCAGTATGTTCGGTTGGATTCATCGGTCAACAATTCCAGACCCATGGCCAGCTCCAGGGAGCATTGGGTAACAATTGTCGGTGATTTATTATATTCATATTACTAATCTTCAATCATAATTCTTTTTATTTGACGACATAGGGAGGGGAAAAAAATCACAGTTTATTCTGTACTGGATCACTTTCAAATAAACATAATCAAGACTAGCAAGTCCTTATAATCTTCTTCCCTGTTGCCAGTTAAAAAATATATATATATAAGATTGTAATTGAATCATACATACAAAATGTAGCATAAATCCGTAACTGTTCTGTATTTTTACTTATTCTATGTAGTATTACCTTTAGTTATTGATATAAAAACTAGTTAACTAATTTGAGAAAATTAAAAAAAATTATTTAAATTAATTGTTTGTAATAAATAGGTACTGTCTTTCCTAAAATATCCTTATTAATCATTTATATAACCTAGAACTACCGTTTGATAAAATACTTAACATGTGCAGCTATTACAATGACTACTTTAAAAAAAATGAATAACTATGATAGACAAAGTGGGTTGAAGTCTTATATTTACTTATTTAGAACCAAATTAAATACTACCTCTGATCATAATTACAAGAGCTAGTTTACTAATTTGAGAAAATTAAGAAAAGAAGTTAAATTAGTCATTTGTAATAAATAAGTGTTGTCTTTTCTAAAATATCCTTACTAATCAAGTATGTTGGCTAAAACTGTAATTATTAGAAAGACTATCTTGGAAAAAATTGAGTAAATATAATAGACAAAATGGATTGAAATCTTATATTTAGGATCAACATAAAACTCAAACGGGATTTTATATTAAGGATCGGGGGTAGTATCAAAATAACTCTTATGCTACCTCCAGTCCTTAATAAAAGAGCTAGTTGACTAATTTGAATAGATTAAGAAAATTAGTTAAGTTAGTTATTTGTAATAAATAGATGTTATCTTTCTTAAAATACCTTACTAACCAAGTGTATTAGCTAGAACTACTATTATTACAAGGACTGCCTTAAAAAAATAGATAAATACGAAAGATAAAATGGATTGAAATCTTATATTTAGAATCAAAATAAAAGTCAAACAAGTTTTTATATTAAAGAATTAAGGTAGTATTAACTATAGTGTTGACAAACTGTAAGAGCACCAAACAGCCCTCTTAAAGATTGTGTTTATATAAATTTTTTTGTCTTTTTTAATTTTCACTCATGGTAGTTCCTTACCTACTAAAGAGATCATTAAACACATAAAATCTTTTACTTTTATAAGTATTACATAGTCAGTATATTTTTTTCTTACTCATTCCTACTTTGTTCACTTTTATATTTGTCTCCCTTAATTTATAGGGACAAAATTGAAAATCAGGCATTAAAAATAATACAAGTGACCAATAAAAAGTACCAATATTCCTTCGTATAGGTGACAAATAAAAAGTACTAGAGTAGTATACCAATTTTGTGCTAACTAATACCTAGGTAAAATGACACGAAGGATGGACATATATAGAATAATCGTTAGTTAAACCGAAAATATGCGACTTTGCGTGTCAAGCGCAGAAGCTTTGTCCCAAGATTTCTTTTTATTAATTACTATTTCTGGTCTTAATTATAAAAGCTAGTTGGCTAATTTGATGAGATTAAGAAAATAAGTTAAATTAGTTATTTGTAATAAATAGATGTTGTTTTCTTAAAATATTCTTATTAATCAAGTTTGTTGGCTAGAATTATCATTTTTAGAAGGACTATCTTGAAAAAAATACATAAATATGAAAGATAAAATGGATCGAGATTTTATAATTAGGATAAAAATAAAAATCAAATAAAATTTTATATTAAAAATCGGAGCCAGTATGTGTACGTGCTTCTAGAAAACGTGTTTAGCATGTTATCACTTTTGGACATCGAGGGTCAAATGATGCCGGCCGATTGCATGTCTCCTCAGGCAGAAAAGAGATGCCTTTACTTCTTATTGGCTCTTAATTAATTTTTTTAATTTATATGTTAAAGGAACAATTGAGTTTGACGTTATTGTAAAACATGCATTCTTGTGGGAAAGTGCTATCGAATCAAGGCCCATTATTTGTCGAATTTTATGACGATATGCATGGTCAGAAAATATGGGAATCTTTCCCTGTCGATTTTCTTTTTTCGTCGTCTTTAATCTCTGTTATGGTCTTTCCATATTTTTTTCTTCCCCTGCCCTGCGCGACAAGCTAGTAGAATCAATTATTCCTAAGTGGACGGGCTTTGTTCCGTGTTACATAATAATTTCCTCGCAGCGTGTCAAATTGAAATTCTTCTTCCACTTCTGACTTTTACTCTTTTGTCCATTTTCTTTTCTTCTTTTTTCAAATTTGGAGATAGGATATTAATCAGTGAGAATTTTAATAAACAACCACAGAAGGGACATTCAAAATCACACAAATCAAGCCTGTAAAACATATATTCTCATGGTACCATGTACGTCATGTTATTCCGTGAGTCAGATGTTAAACTAATTAAAAATACTTACATTTAACTCAGAAATGATAAACTATCACTGGCCAACCACCAACACTACTTCTAGTCCTTGATATAAAAAGAAGATAACTAATTTATTTATATTAAAAAATTAATTAAGTTAATTATTTATTAAATAAATGAGTGTTTGTTTCATAAAATAAATTTATTAATTATGTGCATTAAAATAAAAACCATTTCACATGTATGATCACCATATGAACTGCTAATTTGGAGGAAAATAAATATAAAAACAAAGTGAATTGAGATTTTATATTTAGAACTAAATTAACTTTTTAATTAATTTTTATATTTAGAACGAGAGGTAGTATGTATGTACATAACTGTGCAGCAGATATTTATGTGAATCATGGGGTCACAATTTTAAGGAAAGAAACAAAAATGATGGGAACATTTATGGGATCAAAACGAAGTTGTGCTTTCAAAATGGAACAATTGGACCGTTAATAAAGGGGGAAGAAAGAAAATTCTAATGGCATGCAGATTCGATTAATGGAGACCTAAACTAAGCAATAAAGTCAACTTATTTAGTCAAAGACGTTCAGCTCTGTGCCCACTTTCTTCCTCTCCTACTCCCTGCTTGTTCCTTTTTTTCTCCCACCAGAACCCCACCAATGCTTTTGCTTTTTATACTTCTTCATTACGAGGTTTCTGCTAACTATGCCTCTGAAAGGGGGAAAAAAATCCCAGTAAACCATCGATGTTTTTAAATAGCGTGAGTTCGTCCGTTCATGTGATGTGAAGATTCAAATTGTTCAGTATTTATATGAGGCTTATTACTCTCTTAATTCTAAATATAAAAACTAGTTAAGATATTTATTTTGATTCTAAATATGAGATTTTTAATGTACTTCATTTTTTAAGCTACCTATATGAATTGCGTTTGACCAAATAAAATATTAATTAGGTATGTTAAGGGGTTTCATCAATATAAATTCTCATATAAATTATTAAATATAATATTTTAATAAAAATCAACACTTATTTCTGGCAAATAATTAATTTAATTATTTTTTTAATTTCTACAAATTAGCCATTTAACTTATATATTAGGAAGTGAAAGTAGTAGAATTTTTATAGTATAAATAGATCTGAAAATCGAGAGAAATTCATTATCATATATTAATAACAAGACTCAAAATAAGAAGTGGTTTTTATTTTTTTGGCCAACAACAAGTGTTTCTGATTATGTAGAAAATCTAAACAGCCCAATGGAAAATCGTTAAAAATTTGAAGAAGAGAATGAGAATGCGTAGTAGGTGAGCATGAAATAGACAAATAGTAGGGAGACAAGGCGTCATTAACGCTCTCAGATGACCTCCCACAAAAATACGTAATAAAGTAAAATATTATTTATTAACAAGGCATCGCTATAAATACATGTCCCCATCTCATCTTCTTCATCCACCCCAACCACACCCTGTAAATCTCTCTTCCTCTTCTCTTTCCAATGGCTCCTTCCTTGAAATCCGACTCCATCCTCACCAATGGCGAATCAAACCACCTCAAACAACCACATGCAGGGCACGTGCAAGAGGACGAAGAAAGCTTCCTCTCCGCCATGCAACTGGTCTCCTCCTCTGTTCTCTCCATGTCTCTGCAAGCCGCCTTCGAGCTCGGCGTCTTCGACGCCATCGCCGGAGCCGGAGAGGGCGCAAGCCTCTCTGCAAAGGACATCGCCGCCGCGGTATCATGCAAGAACCCAGAAGCCCCAACAATGCTCGATCGACTCCTTAGCCTCCTGGCCAGCCATTCTGTGCTTCACTGCTCCGTCGTCGACGATCAACAAGGAACAAAACAGAGGATTTACAGTCTCTCCCCTGTTTCTAAGTACTTCGTGTCGGATGCTAATGGCGTCTCTCTGGGAAATCTCTTGTCCCTGGTCCAAGACAGAGTCTTCCTGGAAAGCTGGTAAGTAACAAAGTTGTGTTCTCTAGGATTATTATAAAATTAGTATTATCTGAATTTTGGGATTAAATCGACAGGAGGGAGCTGAAGGGAGCGATAAAGGAAGGAGGGATAGCATTTAACAGAGTATATGGGATGCATGCGTTTGAGTATCCAAGTAAAGATGGGAGGTTCAACGATGCGTTTAACAAGGGAATGCATGATTCGACAATTCTGATAACGAGCAACATCCTTAAATTCTACAATCGATTTGAGGCATTCGACAGAGTCGTAGATGTTGGGGGTGGTCTTGGCATCAATCTTAACTTGATCACTTCCAAGTATTCTCACATACAGGGCATCAATTTTGACCTTCCGCACGTCATCCAAAATGCCCCTACCTACCCCCGTATGTTTAATATGTTCATCACTATTTTATTATCCATTGATTTCAAGAAAAGAAAATGAAATTTTGTGTGTGTGTGTATTGGAAGATTTTAATTTAACTTATTTAAAATTTTGTGTTGCAGGTGTGCAGCATGTGGGAGGAGACATGTTTGAGAGTGTTCCTCAAGGACAAGCCATTTTTATGAAGGTGAGTTTGAGCTTTTCTCAGGGAACTATATATATATATATATATATGCGCGCACACACACACACACATATATATCCCCTTCTGAATAAATTCTTGTTTTCAACTTTTCATGTTTTAGCTAGTTATCAGACTTGGACAACCCAACCATCTTTATTTCTTTGTCAAATGATTAACTTTAGAAAATTAAAATCAAGCCATAGCTTCACCTCAGCTACCACTAAATGAGGATTAAAATCTTTTTTTCCCCATATAGTTCTTGTCACATTATAGACTTAAACGAAAAAAAATAAAAAAATCACATTATTATCTGCGTCGTATACAAAATCAAGTTAGAATTTGCTTCTATTCATTTTTTATATGAATTTTCTTACTATGATAATAATAAAGCGCGCATGCACGTAATTTAAATAGTCTATTTTTGTGAGATTTATTTTATTTTTTTTTAAAAATAGCAGTTAATTATATTTTATTATACATTATATTCATTGAATAATAATGCAAAAAAAAAAAAAAAAACCAACTAAACGAATCCAAATGTTCAGTGCATTCTGCCGAACACCAAACTATCTAAATCTGATTTGATTGATCGCATTACGTGCTTAAAGACGAAGACAACCATGAGGTGGGTCCCAGCCCAATAGATTCTTAAATCTGAGGCGTCAATTCAAAGCGAACGGTGAGATGGACGCAACAACTAACACTGTGCTTTATCAGCATCAAACTAGTAATTAGTGAGAATAGACAATGCAAATGAGCCCACAGTACACATACCTTGAAAGTCATTGGCCACGCTTCCGATAATATGGTTCCCAGTCCCACAAAGATTATATTATTTCACCTTTCTGGGAACTGACATAAGTTGACGAAAATTATTACTACATGGAATGTTATATTGCAGTGGATACTGCATGATTGGAGCGATGAACACTGCGTGAAGCTGTTGAAGAATTGCCACAAGGCGATTCCGGAAGATGGAAAAGTGATTATAGTGGACGCCATTCTGCCGGATGAACCAAACACCACTCCTGCTGTCCAAACGGCTCTTCAGGGAGACGTCCTCATGATGACCCAAAACCCTGGAGGCAAAGAACGAACCCAGCAGGAATTCCTGGATTTGGCTGCTCATTCTGGGTTCACTGGGATCCGATTCGTCTGTCGGGTTTGCGGATTCTGGGTCATGGAGTTCTACAAGTGAGAGCGGCTATATATACACATATACATCCTTTTCTGTTTCTTCCTTTTTTCTTGTTCTACAGCGTTTGGGTTGTTTACCTTTAATTTGAATTTTCTTGTGTAACTGAGCAGTGGGTTTCATGAACTAGTATTTGTTACGTTGCTCCAAGAAGTTAATAAACTTGCTATAGTTTAATTACTTGTACTTGTTTCTCAGTTCCTAGTAAAAAAAACCTTAAATTTCATTCGAGTTCACATTTTCTTTATAAAAAATTGTTTAATTAAGCCTAATTTGACAAGGTCATTATTTGATTTGCCATGAAGAATGAACCAGTCGGCCAAATTAGGGAACAAATAAATTACTACTTCTTCAGACAACGAAGCCCAACACTTAGTTCTTTTTAATAGAACAAAAGAAAATCATGATTAAAATATAAATTATCTAAACCGTTCAAATAAATGATATAATTGGAAGATAGATGGTGACAATTGCAAGGATCCTTTTTTCTATAGAGCAGAATTATGCATGCTCTAATTGTGCGAATGATATAAATTATTATAGAGTGAGGGGACTAAAATGTAAAAGGCACAAAAATAAAAAGTTGCAGCTATTTTTATTATACAAATTACGCACATTATTACAGAAACCTAATTAGGTTGACAAAATGAAGCATAGCTACATTGATCGCAGCAAGCTAACCACATGCATTATTAATTTGGTCGAGTAGAATACAGTTACTTACAAGTCTAGCCGCTGCTCCCAATTATTTCATTATACGTCTCTTTTATCTTTTGCAGCAAAGCTTCCCTGCAATTCCGCTCGATAAGTTTAATCATCAGTGACATAATTAGCAGAACGATATTCAAATTAAATATATGCTAAATATGACAATCAAAAGCCAATGCGCATCATATTGAGCCGGATTATGATTAATTATTATTCAAGATAAATCGCGATTACCTGTCCGGCTTGTAAATTAGGTTCTTATATGCAAACCACTGTAAAGAGATAGGGAAGATGAAGTTAGATTTCATGCGACAGGATACCCCAATATTTTTCTTATAAAAAGAATTCCATAGAATAATTTTACTTAAAAGTGATCAGAGAGGGGGGAAAAAGGGAAAGCCGGCTCTTTTTTTTTTTTTTTTTTAATTTTATCATAATTTATCTTGTATTCTAGTTTTATTTTATTTTTAATCCATACCTCTCGTTTCATTTGTGTATATCTTTAAATTTTATTCATGTCTAATTTTGTCTCTTGACTTTGTCTCAAGTCTTACTTTGATCACTTAATATTTTGAGGAAAAAAAGAGAGTAATTTTTTCAAAATTATTAAGGTGAATGTAAAATATTTACATTTATAGATAGGAGCTAGCTAGGCGTGGAAGCGAAGAATAATGAAGTTAATAATTACGTACCCCAGCGCTGCCAATGCCAACGACCTCAAGAACTCCAGGAATCAAAGGAAGCCTATCAATTGCCTGCAATAATCATATACACACAATTAATAGTTTAATTAATTAATTAATTACTAATTAATCACTCTGGCTTGATTAGAGCTCTTGTGAGAGAACGTACTGAGATGACACCAGTTGAGCCCCACAATGCAACCACACCAGCCGCAGCCACTGTAGTCACCGCGTACTTATCTTCAATCTTCTCCCACTATTCATCCAATTCTTCAACCACATTATATTATATTCTAACCAAATTCCATGCACGTGCCATTATACCTTACGCCACTTACAGTTTCTTGAACAGTCTTGAGAAATTCTGGCGGCTCCGTCGTGGTGGCCACCTCCGTGAAAGCCTCTCCAGTCGCCATAGCCATAACACTCCGAGCAAGTTTGCGACCTGAAACCATGCAACTGCCCACCATGCAGTTGCAGCAGCAACAGTAGCAGCTGCAATAGCTGCCATACTTGGAGGAGAGCCAATTTGCCTTGATGGAAAGGCTCCTTGCGAGCATGCTGGAGAATCTGCAGAAGTTTCTATATTCGCATAGGGCCAACATGTAGCAGCAAAACTTGCTGGGGCATGTGCAGCAGGGTTTTGAAGCAGGATGGAGACAATAAGACTTGAAAACGTGGAGGACATTTGAAGAAATGATTGGTAATGTTCTTGATTCTGGAGAATTTGCGGGAATGGAGGAGGATAAGCGGGAAATGATTGATGAATTGAAGATTGTGCTGAGTTATTTTGACTTTCACTAGCATTTGACGCAGATGCATTTGTGAAAATATCAAGTTGCCTGTTAACCCCACCCATGGGCTGAAATATAGATTCTGGAAACAACATATCCTGGGACGGATTTTGAGTACCTGTTCCAAGTCTCCCATCAAGAACGTGCACAGGGACATGTCTTGGGTATTTTTTATTTCCTTGCATCCCTTCCATCGTGAAAGCACAATTGAGATCATCTGTTTTCTTACTCTGAATCCAATTTTGCATGTGAAGCATCAGAATCCTCCATCTTATAAGCTTGTTTTGTGCCTTTTACTCTGTTCTGTGTGGATTATGAGCCAATACCAATTAGACTAACCTTTGTTGGCACATACACAGGCCTCTATGCTCAACAGTATTCTGGTAAAAGTGGCTTTAAAAAATTTTTCCTACTTATTGTAGTTTTGCCATATACTCCACAGATCCTAGATTGGCATTTATACTAGCACCATCAAACAAAAATGGGGGACTGGTTTGAGCAAGCAATCGAATAGAATGCTTGGCAAAACCAGCCAACCCCCCCGCCGGGGGGCATCATGCCACATATTGTCCTGCTTTAACTGACAATAAGCTCTTCCACATTCTTTTTCCATGAATAAACTTCACTCTCTGTCAGCACGGAGAATGAAAGGGAACATTAATTTATTTGCTCCCAAATTCTCAATAACAGAAGCCTTCTTGGCGTTCAAATTTCAGCAATACTGAAATTACTTCCTTGAATGCTTTCATGTCCTTCTGTATGCTTCAATGCTGCCAAAGCAATCTTAATTTAGTATTATGATTAATCCTATTATTTTAATATCGACTAAGGTTACTTGCAGAAAGAGGGGATGGGATTATGAACTCAGTGCCCACTCTAAAAGGAGATGCGGATGAACTGAAAGAATGACATTCTTTGCTTGCACTTTCTGCTTCTTTTAAATCAACATTTGTTTCTAAACATCTTGATCACAGTTGTGGATTCAATTGAAGCATTCGACCTTCACGTTTTTCAGAATTGAAGATGCCTAAATAAGATTTCAGGCTTTTGCATACGACTGACACCTATTGCACATTTACACCAATATAAGATTTCGGGCTTTTGCATCTATTCATCATAAGCACTTATAGGTACCGTTTGGTATGAAATATTAAAAATGAATGATAGGTATTGGGATTAAGACTGGAAAAATAGTGTTTAGTATGAGAGATTACTTATTATATAGGATTAGACAAACCCATATATGTGGGATTGAGGAATACCATGGGGGAAGTGGTATTCCCTAATCTTACCTCTATGGGTTTTCTTAATTCCATGTAACAATTAATTACTCATGCTAAAGACTTTTTTGATAATTTTTTTTTAATTACAATCTTAGTCCGTATCTCTCATTTTCAATGTTTCATACCAAATAGAACTATAAAGTATTTTCACATAAGTCAATCTCGTATTCAGTAAATTACAATTAAAAAATTATTTTTGAAGTCTCCTACTATGATTCCCAACAAGCCCTCCACTTCGTTGTACAGTGCATTTGATGAGGTATGAAATACCACTTGCAGGTGAGAAAGATAAGAGCGGACGGAGACTCCATGGAAGCGATTTGCAAGTGGCAACACATCGAAATCGCATGATAGAGACCATTGGCTTTATACGTGGCTAAGAAAGGCAGGGATATGAGATGAACATTTTGAAGGTCTAATGTCCAAGGCCCAACCCAAGGTCTAGTAGCCCTGGCAGACGGCATATGGGCTTGTATTGTTTTCAATCTCAGAAAGACGGACTTCTTTGTGAGGCCGATCAACCCACAATACAATTTTTTGCTTTATTAAAGACAATATACTATTAACATTTTTAGTTATTAAAATAGCAAAACGGCCTAACCAACAGGGGTTGAGTCTAGTAAAAGGAACTAATCTCTCACAATGTGATGAATTAAAATTTGAATCCCACTGGGACAAGTGCTCACATTTAGTACTCGACAGTACCTCGAATAGGATTGCCTTCAATAGGAAGATACCTATGTTTTAGGAAAACAAGAAAAAATAGCAAAACGGCCTGCTGATTGCAAAATGTGTGTGTGTGTAAGAAAAAGAAAAAACACCCAGTGGTCAGTGGCCGAAACAGAACTTTCTCGCCCTTTGAGATTTACTGAGGCCTTTTTTTTTTTTTTAAAGCGGGTTTATGTAGTGTAATGTTTTGTTTAATTACTGAGGATTTTGTTCTTTCGTTAGGGATAGAAATAGAGACACATAAGCAAACAAAACATTACAGTTACACTAAGTACGTAAAACACCGCAAGACGTCTAGTTTAGAAAAGTATAGCACATTTTGTAAGTTTTAATTTAGATTTATCCCGATAGTTATTTTTTTAAAATTTTTTTAATTATTTATTATCTCTTATTTGTCACACCCTCTCTCATCTTATTTTTGCTCATAGGCCCTTTCATTTTTTTTGTAAAGCATATTTAGAAATAAAAATATATTTTTATCTCTTTATTATTTTAAACTAATTTTAACCGATATGTTTATCAAATTTACCAACCTCTAAAACAGTTTGATTTCAGTGACGATTTTTAACATGTACCCAAACTTTATACGTGCAAGATGATCTCGTTATGTTCGGTTGGATTCACTGGACAACAATTTCAGACCCATGGCCAGGCGCTAGCCCCTAGGAGCATTGGGTAACCATAAAAGTATTTATTACTCATCCGGTTTTTAATATAAGACTTAATTATTGAGTTAATTTTGGTCATAAATATAAAATTTATTTTTCATATTTATCAATTTTTTCTAAATTACCCTTATGAATACTCCATTAACCATACTACTTCGTCCCTTATTATAAGATCTTTTTAACTAAATTACGGGGGTTTAAGAAAACAGTTAAAATTAGCTAAAAGCAATTAATATGTAACAAATGCAGTTTTTTCCAGATATACCCCTATATATAAATAGATAAATATGAGAGAGTAACAGTGAGATAAATGAAAAAGAAGAATGTATTAATATGTTAAATTAGGGGTAAAACAGGTAATACCACATTAAATGCTCAGACAAACTCAAATAGGATCTTATAAAAAGAGACAGATCCATTCAAAAAATTGGATCTTATAATAAGGGATGGAGGGAGTAACCAAGTAAAAGAGGAAGGGAGAATGTTAAGAAAGATGATTATAGTGTTTTAAGAAAAACATGTCATATTTCTTATAATTAACTAACTTACCTAATTTCTTTAATCTAATTAAATTAGTTAAATAAGTCTTATATTAAAGACTAGAGGAGATTTTTTTTTTTACCAGCATAAAAGTATTTATTATCTTCATATTACTAATCTTCAATTATAATTATTTTTATTTGACGACATAAAAAAGACAATCGCCGTTTATTCTGTGCTAGAACACTTTCACATAAACATAATCAAGACCCGTGAGTCTTTATAATCTTCGTCCCTGTTACCGATTAAAAAAATACTACCTCCAGTTTTAATATAAGACCTCATTTGGTTTTTATTTTAATCCTAAATATAAAATCCCAATCCATTTTGTCTATAATATTTATGCATTTTTTTAAGATAGTCCTTCTAATAATAGTAATTATAGCCAACACACTTAATTAGCAAGGATATTTTAGGAAGGATAACACCTATTTATTACAAATAACTAACTTAACTTATTTTTTTAATCTCCTCAAATTAGTCAACTAGTTCTTATAATTAAAACCGGAAGTAGTATAAGATTGTGATTGAATCATTCCTACAAAATGTAACATGAATCCGTACCCGTTCTGTATTTTTATTTATTTTGTGTACTGTGTAGGACTCCATTCGGTTATTAATATACCAGTTAATTGATCAATTTGAGTTAATTAAAAAATTAGTTTAATTTCTTATTTGTAACAAATTAGTATTGTTTTTATTAAAATACCATTACTAATCCTATATATTATTTAAAAATATCCTTTGACAAAATATTTAATATGCGTAACTACTATAATGACTATTTTAAAAAATAAATAAATATAATAAACAAAACAGATTAAAATTTTATATTTAAAATCAAATTAAATATGAAACTTATTTTTGTATTAAATATCAGATATAGTAATAATTAGGAAAATAATTTCTATCAAACTATAGTGTTGACAGGCAGTGAGCGTACCAAACAGCCTTAAAGAGCGCGTCCATGTGTGCCAGTTTTGTGCTAACTAATACCTAGGTAAAATGACACGAAGCATGCACATATATAGGATAATCATTAGTTACACCGAAAATATGCGACTATTCGCGTCCAGCGCAGAAGCTTTGTCCCAAGATTTCTTTTCCCACTGATCCTTATTTACTTTTATTCTATTCTCAAATACATATAACATCTCATTACATTTCATCTCTTATATTTATTAATTTTTTTAAAATAATTTTTTAATAATAATAGTTCTAACCAATACATTTGATTATTAAAAATATTTTAAAAAAACAATACATATTTGTCACAAATATTTAACTTAACTTTTTTTTTAAATATATTTAAATTAGTTAAATAATTTTTATATTTAAGACCAAAAGTAATAGTTATGTATAGGTTTACGTGCTTCTAGAAAACGTGTTTGGCATTTCATCACTGTTAGGCATCGAGGGTCAAATAATGCCGGCCAAAGGCAAATGTTTCTTCAGGCGGAAAAGATATGCTTTTACTTCTTTTTATTGATTCTTAATTTGTTTATATGTTAAAGGAACAATTGAGCTTGACATTATTGTAGAACATGCGTTCTTCTGGGAAAGTAATATCGAATCAAGGCCAATTATTTGTTCAATTACTCTCTCCCTTTTGGTCTCTCCTGGGTGAGAGGTTTCCGTCTCTCCGTAAGTGAGTGAGCTTGTGCCTGTGTGCTTAGTGTTCCGGCACCTCTCTCTCCGGCGTTTGCTGGAGAGGAGGCTGTCCGGCTTGGGGGTTTTGTTTTGGGGTTTAGGATTTCTGTTTCTTCTAGTTTGTTTTTGTCTTCTGTGATTTGGGGGTGGGCATTAAGGAAAGGTTAGTCCGGCTGGTGAAGGAGAGAAAGGAGGAAACGATGTGGATGGTAGGTTATTTAACGACACTAATACGGTGGTTAGATGACCGCAAAATTGAAGACATTCCTCTTGCTGTTTCTTCTCTCTTAGTTGCCATTGATCAGGTATGGCTTTTTGAATCTTCTTCGATCTGGTATC